TGTTTGGAAGAAATTTTAATCGAGTATGGAAATGATGTCTGTATGTGCTAAAAAAAATGATGATTTTTGTCATTTTTAATAGTTCAAGCCTTATCACTTAATGTCAACATACGAGTATTCCTAAACAGGGTTAGTTATTTTGAAGTTTAAGTAATTAAGTTTATTTACAAAATATTAATTATTTCTTGAGTATTTAAAACAAATTTTTTCCTAATTTACCTTCGTTTGTTCTTGTTGTTGTTGTGATTTGAGTTAGTGCTATTGCGCATTTTTATCTTTTGTGGCTTGGGGGCTTATCCCTGCTCCACACTAAACTTTAGCTATACTAGAATCATTATCATTTATTTATCTTTTAACTGATGGCGGACCGTAGATCAGCATATCTTCCTGTACGTCCTTCTTGAGGTGGACTTAAGTTTTGTTAGGGCGGGGTTGGGCAACGTATCAACTTTTGTGAATAATTTTAGGGTTCTGTTCTTGATATATTTTTTCACTGAGTCGATTCTTAGATCTCTATGCACGTCTGTTGTTCTAATATACCAAGAAATCTTAATTAGTCAGATTTAGATTAATTAGCCAGATTTTGTGATATCTGTAATTTCTTCTAGTTTATGATTAGAAGCTAGATTAATAAATTTTTACCTTAGATGATGTATTATTTTCAGAAAAATATAGTCTTGAAGCTCTTATCAGTTTATTTTTTGCGGATATTATTTAAAAGTATCATTTGTATTAAATTGATGTTTAACGTTTATATTGATGTAGGAAACTTAATTCTTAATAATAACTATTGTTTTTAATAGAGAGGTATTTTAAACAGTAGTAAATTATAACAAATAAATTTTTTTATTTATTAATTGATAATATTTGTATAAAAATTTAATTGCAAATATATTATTCACTTGACTGTAACCCGTCCAAGAATTTAGATTGGCTAATTGTTATATACAAAGTTTTTTGACATGTATACAATAACACCTATTAATATGTTCATCACAACACACGATTATTTTAACCGCAAAACATTAGTTTAGTGTGGCAGTTTAATTTTCAGTTTTGGTCAACCATAAAGTTCATCTGAATATAATATATTTTGCGTTGATTATAAATATGTATACATGATCTACAGATATGCCAAGAATCATCACCGATACTTTATTAATTCTTTACTTCTTAATTACAAGAAATTTGAAAATAATGGTCGAGTTTCTATTATCTTCTTTTTTTCCATCATAATAATACTACTAACATACTAAGCGCTAGTCGCTTAAGTAGATGAGTAGATATATTTTCAAATATTCAATTTCAGATAAATTTATATTGTACTTCGTAAATTATTTGTCACACTGTTAATATAATACCATATATGAATACCAAATATAATATATAAAATCACACATAAACTATTGTTCAAATGTATTAAATTTTTGCATACACAAGCATTCCCTAGATTTAGAACACCTGTTTCCAGCAGCAGAATTTTATCATCAGCCCAAACTTTTCTGAATTTCCGTGTTAAATCTTAAATAGTTCGTATTTTATTTGAATTCCTATTTAGGTACATTCAAATGTGGCAAAACATTGTAGCCATTTTCATATGCAAAAGTTTTCCGAATATGTGTTCATAAATTTTTTCCAACAAACGTGTGCAGACTTTCGTTTGTGAAAATGTATGTGGAAATCTGTACTAATTAAATTAGCCATATTCACATTTCTATTTGTGCAAATGTTCAATATAAACTTATGTAGTAGTTCTCAGTAATTAATTGTCACGCAGTTCCTTTATATTGAATATTGCTCAAATTTTCATAGTAAGTGAGTACTAAATGCTTACAATTTGTATTCAGTGGTATATGATTGCATTAATATATCTTAACTTTCACGCAAGCGAGTTATAAGCATATGCTATTATCCTATCTCGAATAATTAGCACATTCAGTGCTTTAATTAATTCCGCAATTTGTGACTGGAAGTAATGATATTTATATATTCATGAAATAAATTTACCTAATTAAATTTGTGAAAATAATATAATAAATATTATTAAATTTTATAATTAATAATATTTTTTAATAATTATAAATGTTTTTTTGTAGTATATATTTTTAAAAATAAATTCATGTTTAACACTGTAAATACTTTTTACATCTATATGCAATCCAAAGAACATTTATCTAATTTCTTCATCAGTGTACAAAAATTACTTAGAATATAAATTTTTTTGTAAAAATGTATATAAATTTATCTGATTTTCCAGTCAAACTTACAGCAATGTTGGCATTACTTAATATTTAATCCGCACTCTGTTTTCTGTTTTAGCACTCATACGCAACGAGGTACGTAGAGATTATTTCGACGTCAACGTTAATTAAAATCTATAGTACAAATGATTGGATTTGCTGACAACTCCATTTCAGTATGTCCAATTTAAAATTTATAAATGTAAGATCATAAATCCTTATTAAAAAGTTTTTCATAAATTTTATATCTCAACTAAGTTTAACAAAAATAACGTGGTTCCAGGTAAAGCTTGTATTGGGCAATCGGTTTTTGCCTGTGAGCGTTGATTATTGTTTTTTAAACTTCCATTATAAACTTTATTTTTTCGGTAAATTTTAAAATCGAATCTCTAATTGAAATATATTGATTGATTAATTTACACTTTTAAAAATATTTGCAAATTAATTGAAAAACTATAAGTACAAGTACAATAAATTTAAAAATTTTTTTAGTCCATTTTAATGGTCTATCATAATTCAGGTCTATCTGTCTATAAATTGTTAGTGTAACTAGTGTCTTATTTATTAAGTTAAATGAAACAAATTTGCATAGTAACACATATACGAGTATATACAACAAATGTATAAACTGGAGAACAACGTCGACTTGTAGTTATATACATTCTTTTATAAGATCTATCTCAACAAAAAAAATATATATAAATATAATAAAACTGTGGTAATAGGCTCACATATAAATAAGTCATACAACAAAAAGTAAATAAATTCATAAAAATAATATTTCTTCAAAAACTGCTACTGAAAACACATAACAAAATTGTAATAATGATTTTAATTGAGTATATTATGTTAAGGCTAGTTGAGTCAGTGCACTTGAGTACTTTTAATCTCTATTAACTGCGAGGTTTCTTCATAACCCCTGTCTAAACCATGACTGGATTGTTGTTTATCACTTCATCACACTAAGCAATAACTGACATCAGATCTGCATATATCCCCGATGAACCTGTAACCATTCTGAGAAGTGATAACGCGGTGCTGGTAAGCCTGTCAGCTTTCGTAAATAATTTTAGGGCTCTATCCTTTATGAGTATAGCTGAATTTTATGTATTGATTTTGATTTAACATTATAATAAAAAAAAATATATATATTTATAAAATTAAATGTTAAAAGAATACAAGACTAGTATGGCATTGGGTCACGTGTAACTCTGAAAGATACAAAAATGTACTTAATTTGGGAAGAGAATTATATTAAAAAATTCGACTCAAAATACAAAAAAGGGACTCAATAGTCAGTATCAAGATTCTCTGATTCTTTGGAAACACTTAATATTGCTCAGTCTGACTTTGACTTTACATATACATATTTGGATTTATTAAAATTACTTTATTATTCAGTTTATTGAATTTGGTAAGCTTGGATATAAGTTATTAGTAACACTGGGTCCATTCAAGGACTATTATATTCTATTATCAATCATATAACATTTATTTAGTAAAGTCATATAACTTTACTAAATGAATGTAATTCAATTTTTAATATCAGTTGCTGAAATGTACATATATGATAGGTTAATAAAATTAAATCAAAAATGTAGTGAAATATTTGTATATCAAGAACAAGCAATAAAATTTACTAGTGTTAACCGGCTTACCAGTGTTGTATAGTGTGTGCCAGTGTAGAAACGGGAACCTCTAGTGGAGGTTCTAGGGTAGCTCCCATCTACTAGTAGCATTACAAATTAAATGTGTTTAAGTACTTTCCAATGGAATGCAGTAAAAACATTTGCAATTCAGTGAAAACCTCTACCTATCCCTAGCATAACCAAAGAGAACGCACTTAATAAGAGCAGCTGCAGTGACACAATTGTAAAAAACACATAATCAATTGATGAAATGAAGAAAACAAATGCTTGAGTGTCATGAACGGCTTCTCGATGAAATACCAAATTGGTGATCCCAAGAGAGCAAACCGACGGACATCGTGGTAATTTTAGTGGGTTGAAGTCTACTAACTTGAGCATTCAATTGATTTACACTTCATTAAAAACCAAAGAAAGATAAAAGCAGAATATTTATAAGTACAGACTTAAGCACAATCAGATTACAGTAATAGGCGCTGATACCTAAAAACAGCGCAAGATTTTTATTATGAGTACTGTCTTTAGTCTGGCATGTTATTTTAATTAGAGGGGTCCATATATTCTTGGTAATAGTAAAGACAAAAAATTATTGCAAGGGAGGAAATTTGATATTTTTAACGAGGGTACCATTATGACCAAAAGCAATTTGAGTGTTTAAATATCTCTTATAGACGACAGTAAGAGATTTATGTCTTGTAATCACATAACTAAGAGATTTAAAATAAGCACAAGACAATAAGTCTTGTGTTTTGTAGATAAAGCGTTAAAATATAAAATAAATAAATATTGTATATAGATGGAATGCAAAATCGTGGTAAAACTATACATAAGTTGTTGCATAAATTTAATTATATATATTTCATTTCAACTTTTAATGATATCATCAATAAACTAACAAAAATTTTGTGTAATATAATTTTATGAATAATTAAAATTTAAAAAAGACTCTAGTTCATAAAGATAAATATTTACTTATCTTATATAGACTGATATGCATAGTTAAATTGCAGAAAAATGATAGCAAAAGTTATACACTTTTGGTTGGGTATAAATATATCCCATTTACTATAAGTAATGTTATTTTATCAAAATCTTTAAACTTCGAAGGTTGAAAATGTTCTGCTTATTTCGATTTATTGCCTTCATACAACTAAGCTTTATAGTAATCTATAATATTCCATTTGGGACTTCAACATTGATTACTGACAGTGAATGGATGCAATATAAGGTACTCAGTATTCAAAATATTTCATATATTGACATCCATAAAAGTTGTGAATAATTTCAAAATACTTAACAGTTGCAATATGGGAAGATCTATTCAAGTGTATCAGCGGAAAATTTAGCACGGTACAATTTTAATAATAACAAAATACTTATCGACACACATAATGTGAAATACAATTCCAAATCAACTACATTCAAATTAGGAGTAAATCAATTTTCGGATATGAGTTTAGTGGATTTTAAATCATTATTTCCCGTAGCGGTTTATCCAACAATTTCTTATGACGTAGCGCCAAAAATAGTCAACCCACCGCCTATGTACTACAATCCCATTAAGGATCTAGGAATTATATCCTTAATTGAGAATCAAGGCATTGCTTGCAACAGTGGTTGGGCTTATGCAGCTGCAAAGTCAATAGAGCTGAAGCAGGCATATCAGAACAATACATCACCATTGGTTTCTTTATCTGCGCAAAACCTGATCGATTGTGCGGGTCGTTCAACTGCTTGTAAAACACAAGTACCACAAACAGCTTTTGACTATTTATCTGTATATGATCAGAACTTACATACAACAATGCAATACCCAAATATGAATAAACAGAATGAGCAAGGCATGTGTCTACAGAGCTATGGACCTTATACCAAACTACACAGTTATGTACGTCTATATGGTACGGATGATAGTGATTTGTTAAAATATGTTGGAAACTCATTTCCAGTTGTGATTGAATTCAATCCAACCTCATTTGAATTTATGCACTATGCTGAAGGAGTTTTTAAGCAGCCTACAACAGGCAAAGGATCACATTTTATGGTTGTAATTGGTTATGAATCTGATCCAACGACTGGACTTAATACTTGGTTACTTCAAAACTCATTTGCTTCAACCTGGGGTGAAAATGGTTATTTTCGTATTGTAAGAAATCAAGTTGATACTATTGGTAAATCTGCTATTTACCCAGCTACAGTGATATGAGATTTGATTGTTAATGCAATAAAGAAATTAATTTCTTAAAGTTAATATAAGTGCTAAAAAAAAATAAACACGTTTAAAAAGTAAAATTAAATAATTCGACTTCGTCTTCAAAATATTCATTGTCTTTATAAAAATTAAAAATACATAGACTTTAAAATATGTTTTAAATCTTATCTCAAGTGCGAAACTTATGTTACATGTAATCAGCTAGTAAATTTTTAACATAACTATTTATTTTGATGGGGTTAGAGCTCCTACAAAATATAAGACAGAACTGCAGGTTTGTTTTTGTGATTTATTTTATTGTTGTTATTTTTATATTAAAATATACAATATTTTTATTCTCAAAATCAACAGTTGTGAATGATAGTGTACTAAGATTGTTAAGATATACGTCATACAATGAAAAAGGCTTATGTGATGATAAAAAAATCATAAATGCTTCTTTTGCAGTAACATACGGCCAATAAATTTATAAATATCCATATAGATTGTAAATCTATCTGTCGGTTTCTGGTCTAATATATTGAAAGCTTATACAATTTATTAGTGACTCCAGTAATATTCAATAGATAAACAGATAAGACGATAGTTTATATTGTGTAACGCCCATACAAAATCACTGTCCAAAATGGTTTAATGTATTTTATATATCTAAATACAATAAGCAAATCTAAAATTATATATTCGGTTTTTGCATACATGTACTTATAATTTATTATTTTATGATTTAAGCTCAATTTTAGATACACTGAAAAAATTGCTTAAAATAAGATGTTTTGACTCGCAATGATGGTGTACTAAAGCCTTATCTTGAATAATCAAACACGTTCTAGGTGTTCGTTAAGATCGTGTATTATTGCCGCTCCTTTTCATCACAGTACTAGACATAGTGTTAAGCAAAACAAACAATAAATGGCTAGAAGAAATACACGAAAAACTGTGTAACTTGGACTACGCAGACAATATCTGTTCCATAAGCTACAAAACGAAAACTCGAAGTCTTGCTCAGGAATGCCGATGAAGTCGGTCTCAATAAGACTAAGTTAATGAGTGTCATCACAACAAACAGAATTCGCCTCAGGATCAACATCCATAACTTTAAGGTAACTATTGACGATATGGATAAATTGTGCGATCTTAGCAGCATGGTTTTAAAAGATGGAAATGCGGTTGCGAATGTTGATTCACCATAAGTTTTGGGCAGTGTGGAATTCATGAAATATTGAACAAAGTACCAAAATTAGAATCTTTAACACCAGCGTCAAACTTGTCCTCTTATATGGCTCCGAAACATAGCGTATCCAGTTCTTATCTAGAAAAGTACAAACATTCGTTAACAAATATCTGCACAGAATTTGTAGAATATTCTGGCTGAATATAATTTCAAATCAAGAACTCTACAGTATAGTAGACTACAAACTGATAGTTACGGAAATGAAGTATCGTAAATGGAAGTGGATCGGTCACACGTTGAGAAAAAATTAAGATGACATTGCTAGAATAGCTTTCGAGTGGAATTCGCAATAACAAGATCGAATACGCTTGAGGGAAGTCTTTCTTACTCTTAGCCTTCGTTCATCTGAAGACGAAAGCTATGTCAAAGATGTTGTTGCATCTAGGTGCTTGATTGGAAAATTCACTGTTAAAAGAAGAGTTTTTACTGATAATTGAGGGACTTATCTTATGATTGAGCATATATTCGAATGTATTCAATTAAAAAATGTCTAACAAAAATTGTTTACTATTTATTGTAAGAATTCTAAATGTTTATGTAGGTATATTACAAAATTGGCGAAAACAATTTATTTTTGTATAAAAATACTCTGTAAGCAGAGTATTTCCTTTTTGTAAATTACATTTTTTTTTAATTTCCTTTAATTTAACTTTTTATACGATTTAAATAACAAGTATGTGTGCTGGAAGAAAAGAAAAAGTTGGTGTCAGTATAAAGCGAGATTGCTGGTGTGTTTTTATCAATCTTCAAAATGAGATGTGAGATTTCAATTAACTTTCTTTACAAACTCTGAATGCAAAAACAAATTTCCTCCATTGTAATGTGAAAACGATTTTTATAAGTTTTCACGAACGTATTTTCACATGCGTTGTCAACAGAACAAAAATACTGAATTTCGTATTTTAAGGAAATAAAAATGGGAACGGAAAAAATTTCATAAGGTTAAACAAAAAATTAATCTTTTTAATCACGAAAATCTTAATTTGTTTTTTGACATAATTTCCTTCCTTCCTGCTACACTCGCAGTAAATGCACTCATTATATTTAATACAAAAACAACAAAAAAAAATATTAAGAAAAGTCCTTAGTAGGCAGTGTTGCTCCTCATTTCGGCTGAATTGTTAAACTCAAGGCAATTGTTAATTTTTACGTTTATTATTTCACTGCCCCAAGTTGGGGTTCATGGCTCTTAAACGCTCATGATGAGACTCATAAAAATGTTTGCATTGTCCGTAAAAGTATTTTTATGTCTTTATGTTTTAATGACGGATATATATACAATACAATAAATATATTTTGCTATTTTTATTTTCTCATACAAATACAAAGAGAAATTCGCCCATTTCTTGTCAATTTTATTACATTTTTGTGTTTTTACTTTTTATTGTTAACAATTTAACAATTGTATTTTAAATGAGTCCATTCTGACCCATAATGCAGTCAGATACAATATAAATCATAATCCGATATTTATATTAATTTTATTATATGCTTAAATTTACTGGATTTCTTGACTTTATCCGATTTATATTCGTGTTAATATTTACGTATTAGCAAAAATATTGTTATACCATATATATACCATATATACCATATATACCATATATAGGTATATAAAACACTGTGAACAAAAATAAAGTGAATTTAATGTTAATTTTCTCTTGCCAATAGTGTTGACGAAGAAAAACTATTTAAAACTTAAAAGACTTCACAGAGAAACTAAAAGACAACAACAAAAATTTAGTTAATTTATTGAAATTTGGTTGACCATACAACGCTGTTTCGAGTATTGTCAAGTAATTTAGTAATTTAATATTTTTACTACTCAATGGATAATATTGCCATTTATTTAGTAATATTATTAACTTATGGAGATCCTATACTTATTATAGATCCTTAAGGTGTTGCTAAATTAACCGATTATTATGATGATAAACTTGTGAAAAATCAGAATTATAAAAAAATTGATTGTCGGTTAAAAGATATTTTTTTAAATAGCTTTCATAACATCATGGCATACATATATGTTATAATTAGTTAGCTTAAATTAACTGAAACTGATTGTCCCAACGATTAACTTTCAGCGACACCAATTAGGAATATCTAAAACAAAAACCGGCATGGCATAGTCCATCTATCACTGTGCTGACTATTAATGTAGTTTAAATCTTTAGCAAAATCCTTATTCCAATCAAAGTTGGTCTGGGAGTGCTTTCAACTTCTCAACACCCTGGCATCGAGGAACTATGTTACTCTTATGTGGGTACCGGGACACGAAGGGCATGATGGTAATGAAATAGCAGACTCCCTAGCAAAGCAGGTTGCATGTACTCCTTTCATTGGTCCAGAGCCATTCTGCGGGGTAAGAAATAGCTTCACAAATAGCTTATTATGTGAACGGGAGAAACAACATCTACTTGAACACTGGAGAGTCCAAACAGGCATGCGACAGTCAAAAAGATTCATTGATCCTGATCACATCAAAATTGATGCTATCCTTGGCCTTCGCAGAAACGATATTAAAATCTACACTGAATTTCTTACAGGACACTGTAGACTTAATTACCACATGAAGATTATAGGTGTGGTAGAAAGTGACTCCTGTCATAAGGAGAAGGAAACATCAGAACACGTTCGGTGACAAGACGTAGACTCGATTACCTTGGAAGCGGGATATTAATTCCAAGTCAAATAGGTAAAATTAAGCCCACAGCAATTACAAGATTTATAAATAGTCTAAAATTGTCCTAGTTGGGCCTTTAGGCGCACAATAGATCTTTTAGGTCGGGGTGCATTAATAGCCTATTACTTAAATAATAATTAATGTAGTTTGCTGAATACCTGGCATTAAAGAGGCGGTTGTTTCTACTGGTTTTAGTACTAGTGGAAATATATTCTAGCAGTAAGAATAGTATATTCCGAGCTTTTTTCTGTTAAGAAATTGAGATGATTTTAATTTAGTTAGTTTCTAAGATTGTATATTATAAAA